AGAGACAGTCCTAAAAGTGAATGATATATATACACATAAAACATGAACAATTGTGATCATTCTTAAAAGGTTAGAGGAAGAGGTCTTTGACTCTTTGGTATTGCTCATTAGTATGTTTTCAAACCTAGGTGGGCCGAGTTGCTGATTGCCAAAGAAGACACCTGGTTTCAGTACCCAGTGACCTCCCATCTGATTCAGTGGAGCTTATCCTGGATGCCAACCCCATCAAGAGCTTAGAGTATCATTCCCTCCTGCAATATTCTCACTTGGAGAAGCTGAGTCTAGGTAACTGTGAACTGAAATGCATAGGCCGAAATACATTCCAGGGGAGCAGCAACCTTGATACTTTGGCCCTGAGCAACAATTTCCTCTCAGTGAACTACACAGAGTCTGGAGCTGCTCTCCGATCTCTTCTGGGCCTGAGGAAGCTGGACCTATCAGGAAACTCCCTGACTGAGGACATGGTGGCCGAGATGCTCCTCAACCTCTCTTCCCTGGAGTTCCTGTCTCTGGCAAGGAATGCCATCATGAGGCTTGATGACACTGTCTTTCAGAGCCTGGGGAGACTGCAGGAGCTGGATTTGCAAAGGAACTACATCTTTGAGATTGAGAGTGGTGCCTTTGATCACCTGAAGTGGCTGAGGAGGCTCAATCTGGCCTTTAACCACCTCCCCTGCATCGTGAACTTTGGCCTTACCCAGCTTCAGGTGCTGAACATCAGCTATAATATCCTTGAGTGGTTCATAGCAGACAGTGGAGATGCTGCCTTTGAACTGGAGACACTGGACCTCTCCCACAATCGGCTGCTGTTTTTTCCCTTTCTCCCTCAACAGAACAGGCTTCGCACCCTTTTGCTAATGGACAATGAGATGGGCTTTTACAGAGACTTGTACAATGCCTCATCCCCAAAGGACATGGTGGTTCAGTTCCTCCTCATCAGTGGCAACATCACCAATGTCACTACTGTCAACCTTTGGGAGGAGTTTGCCCTGAGTGACCTTTCTGCCCTTCATTTCCTGGACCTTAGTCAGAACCAGCTCAGGTACCTACCAGCTGGGTTCCTAAGGAACATGACTTCCCTTTCTCACCTGAATCTTAATCAGAATTGCCTACAGACATTCTACATCCAAGAGGATGATCCCCCACACTCCCTTTCTGACCTTAACCTCAGCCAAAACCAGCTCTCAGAACTTCAGGTGGCCCCTAGGCTGACTAGCTTCCTAAGGAACCTCAGATACTTTAACCTTAGCTCCAATCAGCTCCAGGGGGTCCCCCCTGGCCTCTTCGCCAATACCAGTAACATCACTACAATTGATTTGAGTCATAATCAAATCACCCTTTGCCCCCGTTCAAAAAAGATTAGCCAACCTGCCTGTGTTGATTTCCGAAATATTACATCTTTGAGGAGCCTCTTTCTTGAAAGCTGTGGCCTGGCAGCCTTGGAAGAACGCACTTTCAGAGGGACATCCCTCATTCATTTAGATCTGTCTGGTAATCGTGGTGTTCTGTTGCGGGGCATTACTCCCCTCCAGGACATTGCCCCCACATTACAGGTCCTGTCTCTCAGGGACATCGGTCTTCATCCCAATGGTACGGAGTTGGATTTCTTCGGGTTTGGGAATCTGAGATATTTAGATGTGTCAACAAATTCCTTGACCAACTTTCCACAGTTCTGGGGCAACCTAGAGCTACAGACCCTGGATCTTCGGAGGAACCGACTCACAGCCCTTCCTCAGTGGGCTGGCTCTGAGCAACTCAAAAAGAGCCTCCGTGTTCTCTACCTCAGCCAGAATCCATATGATTGCTGCTGGCTGGAGGGCTGGGGTCCCCTCCACAGCTTGAAGACACTGCTCATTGAAGACAAGGGAGCTGTCACCTGTAACTTCTCCTCCAACATATTTCGAGTGGTGGAACTGCCTGAGAATATATCCCAGGATTGCAAGTGGGAAAGAGTGGACATTGGTCTGCTTTACTTGGTACTCATCCTCCCCACCTGCCTCACCCTACTTGTAGCCTGTGTTGTGATCTTCCTGACCTTTAAGAAGCCCCTGCTGCAAGTTGTAAAGAGCCGTTGCCACTGGTCCTCCATTTACTGACCTGAGGAGAATGTAATCTATACATACGAAAACTCTTTCCAAGCTAAAAAAAAAAAAAGTGAGTCAGATGAGCAGGTTGGCCTAGATGATCTCCCATGTCCATTCTAGCCCCAAATTTATTATCAATGTGACCCTGGGCAAGTCATGTAACCTTGCTTGCCTCAGTTTCCTCATCTGTAAATTGAGCTGGAAAAGCAAATGGCAAACCAGTCCAGTATCTATCTTTGTCAAGAAAATCCCAAATGGAGTCACAAAGAGTCAAAAACAACTGAAAAATGGCTGAACACCAATAAAAACAACAACAACAAAAAAAAACAACAAATGAGGAACCAGATAACATCACTAGGGAGTAGACAAAGATCAAAATGGTCTCCATCCTTTATCCCTCTAAACAACATGGTTCAGTGGATAGGGCATTGGACTTGGAGTAAGGAAGATCTGGCCTGACTTTAGCACATACTAGCTCTGTGACCGTGAACTGAGCCACAATTTCCTTTTCTGAAAAGTGAGAATAATCCTACCAATTGTACCTACCTCACAGGGTTATTGTGGGGATGAAACAAAACAATGTTTGTGAAATGCCTTGTAAACCCTAGAGCCCTATATGAATTCCCAGATACTATCAATATTATTTTTATTATTATGAATATAGAGCCACATAAAGAATTTTTATAAAATTTTAACAGAAAGAAATGGTCCTCCCTTACTGTATGGTTGTTATTTTTATATCATTTCTTTGGTTATGTTCATGGAGCTGAGCAACAGAATAGGGATGGCTGAACACAAACCCATCACTACAACAGAAAAAGAAAAACTCCAAGTAAGTGCCCATCCTTCTACTATTGGGTCAGGAACAAACTCTTTGGTATGAAAGGGTAGCATATATATTATTGTTGTTTATACCATTTGTTGTTGGAAATCTAAGTGGCCACTTCAAAGGGAAGCTAAGAGCAGTTCAAATGGGAAGAAATGAAACAAAGCTTTTAGTAAATGCTTACTTTGTGCCAAATATGGTGCTATACATTGGGGATACAATTAGAAAAAAGGAAGGCAATCTACCCTCAAGGAATTCAAATCTAACCAAAGAAGACAACACAGAGATGATAGTTCAGCTGCAGAGAGGATGGGAATGTCCCAAAGTCTTAAAAATACTTTGGTGTGGCTGATGGTAAGGCCTAGGGGGGCCTTAGGTTAAGAGTGGCCTAGTAGTCACAAACACATTATATGCTGGAGGGGCAGGACAAAAAAATTTCATGTCTGGTATGTGAGCTAACTGCTATTATTGGGCTAAACAAAAATGTACCAGCAGCCTTCTACATTCATCCCTCTCTGTTAGCCAAATTAAAGAGACCAAATCCACGACATCATTTTGGCAAGACCAGTAGATGCTGAAAGTGCTTCCTGGAAGTTCTAGAAATTTCCCTGTGTAGCCTCCATTCCATCTAGTTCAATTCAATTCAATCCAATAAACATTCATTAAGGGTTTACTATAGTGTGTAAACTATAGCCAAGGATTGTGCTAGATACAGGAGATAGAAAGATAAAATAAAAAAAAACAGACCCAGTCCCAAAGAGTTTATATTTTCCTGCATTCATTATAATCAGGACTGACCTTTGTTAAATTTTGGGGCAAGCAAAGTTTGTGTTCATTGTCTCTCTACCTTCATTTTTAATTCTGCTTCTCCCCTCTGACCCATCCCTCCTCCCCCATCTTCTAGATGCCCTGTGCCCTTCTTATAGCAATTTCCTGCCTGGGCCTGCCCTTGTCAAATAGTGCACAAATCCCAGAATGTTTCTGACTTTTTCCTTCCCCCTTTAAAACTTACAGCTCCCCTTCCCTAAGGGTCTTGTACTCTGCTTTGAAGGCAAAAGCTAGTTAATCTTATCAGTTTTCTTGTCTCCCTGGCTGGGGCAACACTTCCTAGAATCTAGGACCATAACGTGCATTTTGGCTAAGACATTCTAGAGATGCTGCTTCCATCCTATTCTAAAAAGACTCCATTTTTATGGAATGTTAGCTACAAACATGGCTTTATCAATAGCATTTCATTCTGCCCTGACTATAATACACTACAGTGTTGTGGGTGAAATTTAACAAAAAGGTAAACTGAGGCAATTCTCTGAGCAAGATAACATTTATTAGCAGGGGCATACTGCCTTCCAATAAAAGGGTCAATGGATTACTTCATTTTTATGCCAAAACTCAGATCAGGAGTACATCTCCCCTTTTATAGATTTTTGGGGAGTACAGAACAGGGTGGATGACATAATGGGGTTAAGGAAACATGATTGGCTACAGAGCTGAGGCATAGGTAACAATATGATTGGTTGGAAGTTTGGTAATGAGGGGCTAGCAATGACCCCCTCCTTTCCTCTTGAGATATTGTCTGAATATAGGTGCAAAATAGTGGGCCAGCAAACCAGACATTCTTGAAGGATAGCTTGGTGGTAAAATATTAGACCCTAGTCCTTTGTATTCACATGCATGCCCCAAGGTCAGCTAAATTCCTCGAGGCAAGAATAGGTCAGTGATTAGCAGGAGAGCTAGATGTCTAAACTTAACCCATCATAGGCCAGCTGAGTTCTGAACTAAGTTCAGAGACAAAGAACCATGAGCAGTTACAGGATAAAATCAATTAATTGTAAGCAGATCAATAAATAAATGATATAGGATAAATCTTTATCACAATAGTAAACCACTGTCTGTTCATAATGGTTCAGGTTTCAGGTGTCATGAAACGAATGTTGGATTTGGAGTCAGAGTATTTGGTTCTAAATCCCAGCTCTCCTACATAATACCTACAGCACCTTGGACAAGTCACTTCACCTCTGTTTGCCAGTTTCAACTGTAAAATGGGGATAATATTAGCCCCTACTTCCCAGGATTGTTGCAAGGATCAAATGAAAAAATATTTGTAAAATGTTTACACAGTGCCCGGCACACAGTAGTCACTTTATAAATGTTAACAAGAATTGCATTTATAGAGTGGTCCCAATCATCATCACCAAGTGCTGCTGAAACTCTCCATACTTTGTCAGGCTATCCTTTACAAGGCAGGTTCAGTTTGTTTCTGATGTCACTTATGAAGCAGAATGGAATATAACCGTAAGGAAACTCGGAGCTCGTACAGCCTCGTACCCTTGTTTTACAGATAGGGAAACCAAAGACCATAGAGGTTGAGTGACTTGCTCAGGGACACACAGGTAGATTATAAGAGATATGATCTGATTCTAAATTCAGTCTTTTTTTCCCGTGCCACATTGCTTCTTCAGTGGATCAGAAAGGCTTCAGGCAAGTCATTTCACCTCTCTAGGGAGCTGGTCTAGTTCTCTTTCAGTTCTAAATCTATTATCCTACAAATCCAAAGTAATGACTCCAGTGGTGGAAATTTTAGGCATTGTTACAGTTAGGTTGTAGATACTACACCTTTTAGGGGACCAACTGCTCATCAAACCAGCCATTATTATAATGGCATTTGGGGAAGGACATCTCAGAGAGAGTGAGTAGGGAATAGGAGTAGAGAGAAACAGGAAAGAGACAGCTTCTCTGAGTAGCAAATCCCCAAATCTTCATACCTATTATCACCACCATTTTCCCTCCTCCTTTCTCTTCAACTTGTGGGGATTCTTAGAAGGATGGGGAACATAACTCATAGTCACCCTGGAGAATGACTTGCATTCTCAGTATGTCCAGTCAGCAACATGTATATCTCAGCCTCAGTAATCACAAGATTTCAGGGAAAATCGAAAGCAGTTCCTCATTGGAGATTGGTTGGGGCCTCTGTTTTTTTCTCCCTTTTGGGGAAAGGGCATCAAGAAGGATGGGGAAAGGGCATCAAGAATGACGGTGAAAGGCAAGAGGCTGATGAGAAACAGAAGAGAAGAAAAGGGTGCATGATGGGAGAAATGAGGACAGAAGATGGCAAAAAGCAACTGAAGAGGTAAGCTTCCTCCTAAGGACAGTGTCAGAGTAGGCTCATTAGAGGTAGTGTCAGAGTAGCCTCATCAGAAATTTGGAGTTCTGATGTCTTTTTTTTTTTCTGAGCAAGGCAATTGGGGCTAAGTGACTTGCCCAGGGTCACACGGCTAGTAAGTGTCATGTGTCTGAGGCTGGATTTGAACTCAGGTCCTCCTGACTCCAGGGCCGGTGCTCTATCCACTGCGTCGCCTTGCTGCCCCTCTGATGTCTTTAAGGATCTGGAGTAGGTTGGTAGGGAAGTAATGGGGAAGAAGCATGTATGGGGAAATAGTGCTGGACCTGTGGTCTGAAGAGGTGGGTTCAAATCCTCGTCCCTATATTTACTCTCTGGGAGGTTATTTTCTCATCTGAAATGTGAGAAAAGGTAGTATAGTGGATAGAGTGCTGGACCTGGAGTCAGCAAGGCCTGAATTCAAATCTGACCTTAGACAAAAATAGCTATGCGACCCTAGGCAAGTCACTTAACCCCATTTGCCTCAGTTTCCATCATGAGCTTGAGAAGGAAATGGCAAACCATTCCAGTATCTTTGCCAAGAAAACACTAAATGGGGTCACAAAGAATCAGACATGACTGAAATGACCGAACAACAACAAAACATGAGAAAAGTAATACTGACATACAACTTTGTGAAGTTATTGTGAAGAAAGCAGTGTGTACATTTCAAAGTGCTATTTGGAGACGTGCTGTTCTTAAGATCTGATCCCAGATCTCATTGAGCAAGGCACTTCAGATCTCTAGCCCCAGCTTCCTTATCTAGAAAGTGAATGGGTTAGGCCAGGTGGTCCCCAAGATCCCTTCTAGTCCAATGATATTATTTTAAGGACACTTGAGTCCCATTCCCATTGCTCCTGTTCTTTCTTTTAATTTTTTTTTATTTTCAGTTCCAAATTTTCTCCTTTCCTCCACTCCTCCCTCACACTCATTATATGTATGAAGTCATGCAAAAGATATTTCTACATTGGCTATGTTCTGAAAAAAAAAAGCAAGAAAAAGGGGCAGCTAGGTGGCACAGTGGATAGAGGACCGGCCCTGGAGTCAAGAGGACCTGAGTTCAAATCTGGCCTCAGACACTAGCTGTGTGACTTTGGGCAAGTCATTTAACCCCAATTGCCTTACCAAAAAAAAAAAAGCAAGAAAGAGGGAAAAAATGCATTCTGAGTCTATCAAATCTCTTTCTGGAGGTGGATAGCATTTTTCATCAGGAATCCTTTGGAATTATGATGGATCACTATATTGATCAGAGTTACTAAGTCTTTCACAGTTGATTTGCTTTATAATATTATTGTTACTGTGTACATTGTTTTCCTGGTTCTGCTCACTTCACTTCATATCAGTTCATATAAGTCTTCCCACATTTTCCTGAAGCCATTCCTTTCATTATTTCTTATAGACAATAGTATTCCATTACATTCGTATACCATAACTTGTTCAGCCATTCCCCAATTGATGGGCATCCTCTCAATTTCCAATTCTTTGTCACCATAAAAACAGCTACTATAAATATTTTTGTACATATTGGTTCTTTTCCTTTTTCTTTGATATCTTTGGGGTATAGGCTTAGCAGTGATGTTATTGGTTTCAAGAAGCACACACAGTTTCATAGCCCTTTGGGCATAGTTCTAAATAGTTTTCCAGTCTGTCTCTGTTCTCATATAATAGCTATATAATCAGAAGGGAAGAAGAAGAGAGCAGGATTAGAAGTTATCTTTCCCCTTAGAGTTTTCTGCATAGACAGTTCTTGTAATCTTGGATATGGAGGATACTGCCTACTCTATCTACCGTGGGGGAGGTAGAGATGAGCATTCAGAAACCTTTGGTTCTATAGGTCCTTTAACCAGGTATCTGCCCTCAATAAGGGATGAAAGCCCATGCTTAGACCTCTACAATGTACTCCAGACCAACAGATCAGCAGTGCTCCTTTGATTATCCCCATTACCTATGTTATTTCTTTAATGAAAAATCTCCAAATGCCAATGGAATTTTATTTAGTGACAAATGAGTTTTTACATAAAGTATGCATTATGATGTAGTAATAAAATGTGATTGGTTGAGGGGGACAGTGATGGGGGGGGAGTTGGAGTAAGAAGTCAGTAATGTATTTACCTAGTTCTTGCATTCTTTGTGAAGTCTGAGTTTATATGCAACATTACAGAACAGACTAGGCCATGTTCCCACGTGTCTAGTCGACAGTGAATATGTAACAGACTTGTGTCATGCATGCCAGGTGTCATTTATTAGACATCATTATTATTTCTGATCCTGCTTTCCCAAGTGTTTTATACTTTGCAGATGGTGCACATCTTATGTTCTTAGTATACCTTGTAAACATGCCCATCATCCAAATAGCTTCTATTATGTATGTGAGAAATTTACTTTTACACTTCAGAGAGGAAACTTTACTCCTCTAGTTAAGAAGGCCAATGAACTCAGTTGTGGTTGTAAGATAGGTGATCAGGATAAGGCTTCTGTCCTTCACCTGCACTGGTGCTACTTGTGCTAGTCTTTTAGCTGGTCGAATATGTGGCTCTGTTCGCATGCCATTTGGTAATTCTAATTAATTGGAGAAAAAACTGTTCAACAAGTTGCTATTTTTGATAATAAATATATCAAGGATTGCCTCCAATCTAAACATATACAATATCCAAATCTACTTAGCTGTAAGACCTATTTTAAACAGGGAAGAACTACCTATACTGAAACCACGAGAAACTTAGAAATTGGATGAAGAAGATAAATCTGAAAATCCTGATCATGCTGATAATGTTCAACATAGCAGGATAAGAGGTAGTAATCCTCATCTGAAACAACTTCCACCTCCTCAGATCCATATTTAATAATTCAAGCCTATCTAAATGTCCTTGTTTGTAATCTTAATTCATTCCAAAATCGAGCTGAGATTTTAGCTTCTATAAGAGAGATCTAAAATAATGTCTGAAACATGAAACTTTTCCTGAGGAGTATTGAATATGAAACGTATTTTTAGAATCTGAAAGTGATAGCTTTTAAAAAATTTGGATTATAACTTGGATATACTAAATATTGATGCTTTTTTTGTGAACGGAATAACATACACAACCCCGCCCCCCCAAAATATGTTAAAAAAAGAAACACTAGCCTCAAAGAAGAGAACTGATTTCAGGAAATAAAAATGTGGTAAGCCAACCACTTGTTAGTCCTGAAAAGAAAGTTTCTTTACCACCATGACACCATAAACTTGGGTTGGTGAAAAAAAATTTTTTTTAGGTGAAAATTTTTGTCAAAATGATAAATCAAAATGATTCAGGTTTTCTTAATCTGAAAAATAACTTTTCAAGGATTAGTGAGGCAGAAATCAATGAGGGTTATTTGTCCATCCCTGTGAATTGTGAATAAAATATATATGTTGTCAGACTTTGGCGCTTAGGTAGTTTTCAACATTAAAATTTGTGGTTCTTCAAGTACAGGAAGTGATGAGAGAGGCATATTTTAAAGAAGAGTTTAGTGAAATTGAAGGAATTACATGGAAATTATTTTTTAAAGTGACTGACCAAAAGCTTTTTTTTTTTTCTGGAAGACAGAAAACTAGAAAAGCAAATTTTCATGATGTTCTTAAATTTTATAAAGTTGTGTGATATAACATGTTTCTTAAAGATTCATTTCTTTCCTGGGTTTCACATTTGGACTTCTTCCTGGAAAACCTGTGTGCTCTCAGTGATAAACATTGGGAACACTTCCATTAACAAATCTTTACAATTGAAAAGCAATGCCAGGGTAAATGGAGTCTAATCATCTTATTTGTCTACTGCTGGGTATGGAGGAGCAACATTGTAATAAAAACTAACAGGAAATCACCAGTACCTATATTTTTAAAAAGCCAAATAAACACAATTTTATTTGGTTTATAAACGTGATTTTTATATGTAACAATTCAACTTTGCTGCTGAGTTCAGGAGTTGGGGCACTTACTCTCTCCCTCTAAAGGGGTCTCTAGTGTTAGGTTCAAGTGTGCTGATCAGGCTCAATCCTGTAACAGTATAGTCTCTAAAGAGAAGGGTCAGGCTATTTTTCTCCTACTTTTTGGCTCTTCATTTCCATGTCCTAGAGTTCCACAGAGATTCACTTAAAGCTTAAGTTTGGCTTATGTCTGAAGTTTCCCCAAAGGAAAGTAGAAAGGTATTCAACGTGCATTGTAGATCAGGTGTAGGACACCTATTTATTTACTCCACACAAAAGAAATGTTTAAAGCACAAAAGATTTAATAAGCATGAGGAGACAAAGACTTAAATACAAAGCAGTAACTTAGAATTGCTATCATACTGTACTGGGAGATTAATACTTAAAACATTGAAACAAGAAGCATTTTGTGAGATCACTGAATTAGCATTTCACTTTCACCTTGTTACCATACTGTTCTAACAGCTACTTGAAGGTCCATGTCTTTTGGCAAGCCAGGCCAGGGTTGGGTTACTCCTCCTGTTGGTCATGTTCTACTCCAAGAATCATTACACAACCTCTTATAGTGTAGGTAGTACCAACTGAAGGGCCTAATATCTCCTGAGTTAGCCATGATCCAAAGTCCATCTCTCAATGTCACAGTTTGGGTACCTACTCTCAGAGAAAGAGACAAAAAGCAGAAGAGATAGATGGAGGCCTGAGAGCTAGGCTCAGGTAATACTTAAGTTCCTTTGAAGCTGAAATACTCACCAGGGATGGGGAAGAAAAATCCTAGAAAGAAAGTGACTTGGCACATCTTCAGAAGAGACCACCAAGGGGTAGGGTCAAACCTTTCAAATTTTACCAGAGGGTGATTCCTTCTCAATCAGTAAGCAATTCTTGCTGATACATCTTTGATGAAGCACCCCACCACTTCCACATGGAACGGGGAAGTGAAGAAAAGTTTGCACCTGGAACCAAACCAGAAACCTTTGATTGCACATGTTTATTTACCAAGGGGGGCACTTGGAAAGGGCCAAGGCAAATGT